ATACGTATACATACATACATACATACGTACAGACAGACAGACATACAGACATACAAACATACAAACATACAAACATACATACATACAAACATGCATAAATACATACATGCATGCATGCATGCATACATACATACACATACATACACATACATACATACATACATACATACATACATACATACATACACGCATGCATCCCAGCATCCATGCATGCACACAAACAGACATGTCTACAAATATATTTCTATGCACACACAACTTCCCCGAAAGTTGAGCAGCAACAGCAGGTATCAGTTTGTTTACGGGGCACCTGCAGGTGAACCTCCACATGTCGGATGAATCCCTCGTAGTTCTCGAAGGCACCCACCACCTTGTCCTCGATGAACTTCCGAGCATTGCTCTCCTCGTGAAGGTGCTTGTGCTGCGGGAGCTGGGTGACGATGTGCATCGAATATGGCACGCGCTTCTCGGGCATCTCAGGCTTAGCCTCAAGCTCCGGCTCCTCGTCCAAGGGAATCTCGATGACACCTGGCAGCTTGTCCTTGTTGCGGATGTTGCCGTGCATCTGATTCCTGGTCAGGCCGCCCCCTGCTGGCGCGGTGTAGGACGTTCCGGGTACCATAAACCAAAGTGCCGTCGCCAGCATCGCCAGCACGACCATGGATCGCATGGGCGAGATGACTGTCCGAGTCATGGCGGAAGTATCGTACGGGGAAGCCCGGAGCCTGCGGGGTGAGGACGAGTGTCTGAAATCCAAAATGGCTTCAGAGAAGATGTTGTCTTCATGGATTTTCGGCTTGCCAGCAGGTATCAATCAGGTTCTCTCTGGAAATCCTAGAGCCAGAGAGGCAGGGGCTTCAACAACTGAACTTCGAGAATAGATCTTAACAACAAGTCCCAAAGACACACACTGAAAAGCATTGTCTGAACTCTTCAGATTTGTCGTGTTCAGCCACTCGAAGCTACTCATAATTCGGATTCTATCTTAACGCCATGGCCATATTCAAACATTCAGCAGTACTCCACATCGATACCTAGAAAAGCTCCGACTTCCACAACTATATCTATCTTGACCGAAAAAACCATGTCACGAGATCAATCGTTCGTGGAAAACTGACGGAAACCATCGGAATCCACGACCCCAACCTTTCCAGGCAACCTGAGAAAGGGGGGTTAAGGATCACTTGTGGTTCGATGAACATCGACTTTCCGAAGAGGCCTGTAACTACCTCGACCAAGACTAAACCCACAGCAAGGCACAAGAACAAATTGCTAAAGACTAATGCTGGGTCTCAGCCTTTTAAAGCCTAAAAGCGAACTCCCCTATTTTTGGTTGCTGAGGTGGAGACTGCTCGCAGAGCCAGGAGCGAGGCCACAACCTGAACAGCAGAATGATCTCCAGGGATCCCTATAGGAATTCCCGGGGTTTGCAACGGTTGCATCGTAAGAAGTGCTTGTAGCGGTGTACAAGGGTTCACAGCATAAGGGTGTCTAGGGGCTTATGAGCTTCCAGAATGAGGGCATATGTGGCCCATTGGGGTTTAAAGCGCTTCGGGTCTGTATCGGTCGTACAGTCATACTATCAAGTATACTGCTAAAGTTATGGGGGGTTAGAAATATTTTCAACCGGGGGGCTGAGGGTTTGAAATTAGCATGCCGGGTTGATATAAGCGGGCCCACATACGATTAGTTAAATGCCCGGATGGCTAAATTACGCCAAATCCACGATAACAAAAGGCCTCGACATGACCAGATGCCGATGCTGCGCGGAGTGGGGTAGAACTGCTGCCGCTTTTGTTCCTCGGCTTTGTGCGGGAGCCCTCAAAATACCAAACTACTGGCAGCGGCATTGAATGCAATATGATTTAGAGGGACCCCCCTAAGGGGGTATGGCAAATGGAGTTTGCTAGCAGAAGCTGATGGTCGGAAAGCAAGGCCTGCCAAGCATTAGCAACGGCTGGCAGGCCTTAGTAGAGCCTAGCAAGCCTTTGTAGTA